AATTTCTTTCTATTCCCCTAAAATAATGTGGATTTTTTAAAATGTCACAGTTGTTTACATTGGTTTGGTGTCTATAACTAAACCTTGGGGCTTTGTTCTATTTTCCTAGAGTCCTGCCAAAGTTGTTTCTGTTACTTCAATTTCCCAGCACAGGGAACAAACTCCTTGAATTTCCAGAGTATTCATATTAATTTGTTCGGCTAATACAACAAAGAGCCTGCTTATTAATATAAGTAACATTAATTGTCTACAATATGGTAGAACTCAAGGAGAAATAATAAATAAAAACCTTATTCCCAAAAAACACAGGTGGAGAGGTGAAATGGTTCCATGCATGGTATTCATGGGATACAAAGTCTTTTTAAATAATAATAGTAAAAATAATCATGAACTTTTTTCAACTTGCAGGGCCACCCCCTCCGGACACAAACACACCTTGGTGCTGGAGATTGAACCTAAGTCTCAGCACATTCTAGGCAAGTTCTCTACCTACTGTACTACATCCCTGGCCCACATTGTTCTTTTAAAATGAACTTTTTGAGTAATTTCAGATGCAAAGAAAAGTTTCAAGAGTATTAGAGAGAGTTCCAGGGTACCCTGCACTCAGTTTTCCCCTGTGTGAATATTACAATGGTACATTTTTGTAACTAAGAAACCAACATTGATTGGTACTTTACTAGATTCCACAGATTTTTTTAAAAAAATTTTTTTTTTAGTTTTTGATGGACCTTCTTTTTATTTATATGTGGTGCTGAGAATTGAACTCAGTATCTCACATATGCTAGTAAGCACTCTACCACTGAGCTACAATTCCAGCCCCAGATTTTTTTTTTTTTAATCTCCTTAGTTTTACTTACTGTCCTCCATCTGTTCCTGAATCTCATCCAGGATATGTCCCTTAGATGCCTCTGGACTGTGACCGTCTCTGAGAGTGCTATTTTTTGTTTGTTTGTTTAATGACCTCAATAGTTATAAGGTCATCAAGTATTTTGTCCTTTTCTTTGGGTATGGGCAGTATTTTTCTCATGGTCAGACAGAGGTTATAGGTTGGAGGGGGCCACAGAGATAAAATGCTATTCTTATGACATCACATCAAAGGTATATACTATTAACACGAGTTACCACTGCTGATGTTGACCTCCATCACCTAGCTTAGGCCAAAAGTTTATCGAGTTACTCTGTGTAAAGTTACTCCCTTATCCTCCTGTTTGATTTTTTAAAAACAAAGCCATCATGTGAATCCCACTCTTAAGGAAATGGGGATCACACTACATCTCCTTGAGGGGGGAATATCCACATAAGTTATTTGGAATTCTTCTGCAAAGGAGATTGCAATCATCAACATTTATTTCGAATTTTATATTAATGAAGCTCTTTCAAATACATCATTTGCGGGCTGGGGTTGTGGTTCAGTGCTTGCCTAGCATGCATGAGGCACTGGGTTCGATTTTCAGCACAACATATAAATAAATGAATAAAATGAAGATCATCAACATGTAAAATTTTTTTTAAAAAATACATCATTTTACAGTCCCTACTTGAGAAAATTTGTAGTCAGGTTAAGGAGGTCTCATAGAGGAAAAGCTAATGACACAACAACTTTATAGAAATTTTAGCCAGGTGCAGTGATGTATGCTTGTAGCCTTAGCTATTCAGGGAACTGAGGCAAGAGAATCCCTGGAGCCCAGCAGTTGGAGACCACCATGGGCAACATAGAGTGAAACAAAGAAAGACAGAGGCAGAGAAAAGGAATATAATTTTGTACACTCATCTTCCAGGCAGCAGTATTCACAATAGGAAAAAGTTGAAAGCAACCAAAGTGTCTATCAACCTACAAAGGGCTAGGGCTGGGAAGGCAGCTAAGTGGTTGAGTGCATGCTTGGAACAGTAGAGGACATGGATTCTATCCCCAGTGCCACCCAAACCCCAAACAGACAAAGGGATAAACAAAATATGGTCTATACATGCAATAGAAATTATTCAGCCTTAAAAAGGAAGGAAATTCTCATACATGCTACAACACGGACAGACATAATGCCAAGTGAAATAAGCCAGTCACAAAAAAACACTATATGATTTTTTTTAAGGCTCTGGAGTAGTTGAATTCATAGAGACAGAAAGTAGAAGAGAAGTTGCCAGGTGCAGCAGGAGGAGGAACTGGGAGTTACTGTCCAATGTTAGCAGAGTTTTAGTTTTCCAAGATGGAAATAGTTTGGAGATTTGTTGCACACATTCTAAATATTTCTGAGTTGTACATTTAAAAAATGGATAAGAAGTTAGATTTTGTTATATGCATTTTATAATTTTTTAAACTTTAAAGAAATACAATTTTTTATATTACACAATACCTTTATTTAATTAATTTATTTATTTTTATGCGGTGCTGAGAATCGAACCCAAGGCCTTGCACAAGCTAGGTGAGCGCTCTACTGCTTTACAACCCCGGCCCAGAAATACAATTTTAAATAGGAAGTATTTTTTGTAATCAGCCTTCCAATAGGAACCCACAGTTATATTGCAAATCAGACTGCAAAATGGTACCCTGGAGCTGTTGATATTTGAAAATCAGATTATACAAAACAATCAAAATTTCAGACTTCTTTGACAAACTGGATGATCTCAAAATGTAAGCCCAAGGGTATCACACCTGAGTGCTGATAAAGCAGCACCTGCCCATATCACTCACTATTCCCCTAAAAATAGTGGTTGATTGGTTGGTGAGTTTTCTCCTTCCCAGTGAAGTCTGGAACATTGGCATCTCAATCTGCTACCTCCTCTAGTTGTGTAGCCCTATGATATAATTTAACTCTCAAATCTTCAAGATACTGGAATTATAAGCTATTTGATGATTTCCGTGAAAGTTTTATCTAAGCCCACATTTCCTCAGTGTAGCCCAAAGGTCTCAGAGGGGAAGCAGAAAGAATCCTCTCATACCCTTTGGCAAGGAAGGCTGAACTAGAACTTGACTTGTATTCTAAGAGCACCATTTTAAAATACCCTTGAACCAAGACTACTATGATTTATAACACTGTAGTGAGCCAACATTTCTCAGATTTTCAAATCAGGCATGCCTAAGAGCCCCAGACTTCAGCAGGTATGCATATATACACACTCCCCCCCCCACACACACACACATACACAAAAGCAGACATGGTGTGAGCAGATGCCACTGGAATACTGGGGGGTTTTGTTGCTGTTGTTTTTGGTACCAGGGATTGAACTTGGGGCACTTAATCACTGAACCATATTCCCGACCCCCACCCCGCTTTTTTTTTTTTTTTTTTTGAGACAGGATCTCCCTAAGTTGCTGAAGCTGACTTTGAATTTTTGATCCTCCTTGCTCAGCCTCTTGAGCCACTGGGATTACAGGTGTGCACCACCACTCCCAGAATGCTGTGTTTTTATATAAAAGACAATGCAGATCTGGGATCACATACATGTTAGAAGTGTATCTATCCCCTCGCTGCCTGTTTCTCATGGAGAATAGCATCCAGCTTTGGAGAAGGGTTCTGGGTCACATTTTGTGTTTATTACCACCTGTGTTAGATGCTCAAGATAGTCCTAAAGTCAGACTTCCAGGCTACCAACACAACTACTTTAGGATGCAAATTGAAACCCTCCATACCATCATGTGTGCTGAGCCAAGAGAGAAAGACTGAGGCCTAAAAGGGAGTTTCATTTGCTCTTTTCTTGAAAATATAGGTCTGAGCCTAAGGAGCAAAGGCTGATTCCCTTGAGTACACATGTTCATACATAGCCCATCCAAGGTTTGAAAGAACCCCTCACCTAACCTTGTGGGACACACAGGAAAGGCCATGCCCACGTGTTATGTGTCTGTGACAGGTATTTATTAGTTACCATCTCAGCATCCCTGGCCCTCTTACAACTACCTAGGACCCCACATTCCTCAGCTGTGTGGTTTGGGGAAATGAAGTCTACCTCTAATTCAGAGAGAACCCATGAGTATAGCTCATGCCCCTAGCCATAGTTCAAGGGTGAACACATCGACCCTTTCACAAAGCATCTGAATTGTTCTGATTGAATGATCAGAAAAGAAAAACTGGTTTTTTTCCTGCTGTTCATGACAGGATACATATAGATCCAGGAGTTCTGGCCTCATTTTGGGGCCACAGTGGGACAGCTGCCTAAGAATGGAGTCAAGGAAGAGCCGTCAAAGCAAGTAGAACAGACAGGAACCTCCACCAGATATATGACCCAAATTCTCTGCTTATCTCTACCCTGTTTGGGTTAGGCTTGGGGTCACTGAGAACAGAAAGTATCCTAATCAAGACCCTATCGAACACAACTTGATCTTACCAAATCTTAGTGGTCTCTGCTTTAATGACTGTCTTTTTGCCCACCAGTATTTTCAATTCTTTTTGAGACAGATCAATCCAGCCACAACCACAGTAGAAGTTAGTTCCTCTGGAAAATATTCTCATTTAGTATAAAATTCTGTTGAGCGGTTTCTATTCCTTTGTGCGTACCTCTTTTAAAAGAAATTCAATCTTCTGATTTTAATTAATGCAAACATGAGATATTGATGTATATCAACCTACAAATTTTCATTTGTCATGGAAAATGTTTTTAAAAAGGAAGAAGTAGGGATTTTTCAAAAGATAAGCCAGGAAAGGTGGCACACACCAGTAATCCCAGCTACATGGGAGGCTGAGGCAGGTAATCACAAGTTCAAAAATAGCCCAGGCAATTTAGCAATACTCTGTCTCAAAATAAATTAAAAATTTAGAAAAGGTCGGGCATGTACTTCAGTGATAGAGCACTTTCCCTAGCATACAGAAGCCCTATGTTTCATCCTTAGAACTGAAAAAAATAAAATAAAAAGTAAATTTATTTAAGATACAAGGCATTGGAAACATTTAGTTTCACCATTTGCCATCATTAGACATTCTCTATCTGATTGTTAGAAATTATTCATTTCCTCAAAGAGAGAGAATAAATTGGTTGGGGATGCAATCTCATGCTAAGCACTTTCTTAGCTTTCTTTGCAAACTGTGAGCATTTCAAGCCATGGGGATGCTGCTGCGCTTGAGTTTGGTAGCTCTTGGAGCTGCCTACACTTGTGCCTTGGCCTTGGAAATTCCCATGAGTACATTGGTGAAAGAGACTTTGACCCTGCTTTCCACTCATCAAACGGTGCTAATAGGCAATGAGGTAAGTCTTTTTCATTCCTGCATTTCTTTAAAATGCATAATTATATGTGGTATTTCATTTACTGTGTATAAAGATCCGTTATAAATAACAAAATTATGAGCATAGGTGAAAACCACATCACTAGCAAGCATAATAATGAAAGTTATGAATGATTGAGGGCTTTAAAAATAATTATTTGACCTTTCCTTTTCCAGACCCTGAGGATTCCTGTTCCTGCACATAAAAATGTAAGTTAAATTATGATTCAACAAACCGATCCCATGAAAAAGCAACTTTCAGATTTTACACTATAAATCATTAGTTGTCTTTGGAACTACGTAATTTTCTCTTTTGTTTTCACATGGGGTGGATGTGAATGTATGTACTTAGAGATCTTAGGAATGAGTTTTAAAATTAGAATCTTAGGAATGACTTTTAAAATTAGAATAAGCAAGTGGATCAGGCTTTGGTGATATTTTCAGTTCTCTACCCCAAAGAACCTCATGTTAGAGTTTTTTTTTTTCCCCAGAAGAATCCCACAAGGGCTGAGAGGTGCCTGCTAGTCTCTTCTCAGTTCTGACCGTCTATGGCCATTCTCTAATATCATTCTTTAAAAAAAAATCAGATATAACATTACCTTTATTTTATTTATTCATTCTTATGTGGTGCCAAGGATAGAACCCACTGCCTCGCACATGCTAGACAAAGCGCTCTACCATTGAGCCACAGCCCCAGCCCTCTGTCTAATATCATTCTAAAAGTACTGTACTGGAGACCTAGATCAGAGGCTCAACTCTGGGGGTCCAAATAAATCAGGTCTGGTCACTCACCCCAAAAATCAAACGGAAAAAATAATGATGAAGAGTAGGCAAGGAACTGTACATCAAGTGTCTCAGCCCTGTCTTGGGGATACTGATAAGAACTTTAGGTTTAAATGGAGGAAGAATTCAGGCAGGGGGTGAGAGATATGCATAATTTAAAAGTCTTGGTCAAGTTGAACATTATTATCTCAATCCTGGTGATGCAGAATGGCTCCAGGAAGCCCTTAGTATTTGAGGGAGCGATCTCTATTTGCTGCTTGGGTGTTCATCTATTAGATCTGTGATATTGAAAGGGGGCAATTTGGTTCCCCTAAATAATTATTCCTGCTTAGGGGAGTAGTCCCACCTTGGGGTGATCTTTGCAATCTTCACTGCCTCTGGAAGGGGTGGGGCAATGACTGGAGACTTCTAGGTGCTGCTCTCGGGCTCTGGAGCAGGAGGTTGTAAAAGCTGGCAGTTGAATGTCTCTGCAAATCTTGAAAATACCATAGTTACTCTTCTATTGGTGTCCTCTGTCTTGAAGGGGAACAAGAGAGGATAGGTAAATTTAGGATCAATAAACCTTATATTATTATGCCTGCACACAGAACTGTGTTACCCTAATTTAAGGTAATAAAGGTGACAGATGAAATGGAAGCAGAGATGCCAAAACTTCTCTGATTTTAGTTACCCATTGGGCATCTGCAGGCCCAAAGGAAGAGTCAGTGCTTTTAGAAAAAGCAGCTTTTAATTCTCTGTTATACTCTTAGTAACTTGGGTCATATTTTTAGAATCATGATCGGTAGACATTAAAATATAACAACAAATGCCCTCTTAATAATTTTCACATAGTTAAATGATTATGACTATATAATGGTATTATGTACATTTGAAACACATAATGGTCATACTCAAAGGTAAAATATACTATTTCATTAGACTAAATGAATTAAAATTACCAGTCTAAACCATAAAAGAAAACACTGATGTGAGTTCTATTAGTAACATAATTGTGTTATGTGTTCATTTCCTGAACACTTTATTTCTGGTTATGTAGTTTCTTTTCTTTTTTCTTTTAGTGGTACTGGATATTGAACCCAAGGGTTCTCTTCCAGTGAACTACATTCCTTTTCATTTTTTATTTTGAGACAGGGTCTCACTAAGTTGCCCAGGCTGGCCTGGAGCCTCCTGCCTTAGCCTCTGGAGTCACTGGGATTACAGGCATGCACCACTGCACCCAATATTGTGTAATTTATTTTTTAAAATATTTTGTTTTAGTTGGACACAATACCTTTGTTCCATTTTTATGTGGTATTGAGGATCAAACCCAGTGACCCGCACATGCTGGGCGAGTGCTCCATCGCTGAGTCAAAACCCCAGCCCTTGTGTAATTTCTTAATAACTTTTGTAATGCTCTTCAGTAATTAAAAAGCTTCATCTATCTGTTGATGATTTTCTCAGCATGAGGTAGTTTGCCACTTGGGAAAGAAACAAGCAATAAAACTCTTTGGAGGAGAACAAATGCCATAAAATGAAGCCTAACTTTTGGGACCAGATTTTTTTTTTCTGATTTTTTAAAGTTGACAAATTAAAATTGTGTATATTTATTGTTTCTAATATTATGTTTTGAAATATGTATACATTGTGGGATGACAAAGTTTTTTTAATTTTTATTATTTGTTCTTTTTAGTTATACTTGACAGTAAATGTATTTGACATATCATACATACATGCAGTATAACTTCCCAATTTTGTGGTTATACATGATGTGGAGTTACACCAGTCATGTATTCACATATAGGAATGTTCTACAGTGGAACATAGGAGTGTTATGCAATAGACCCAACTTTTATATCGTGTTTTGATAATTTGCACCACCATGCCTGGCTTGCCTGTGAAGTTTAATTACATTGAAAATTAAGAGCCACTCTTGGTTGGCTCTCATTCTTTTAAGTCTTTTTAAATCTTCCTCATTTAGCACCAACTATGCATTGAAGAAATCTTTCAGGGAATAGATACGCTGAAGAATCAAACTGCACAAGGCGATGCTGTGGAAAGACTATTCCAAAACTTGTCTTTAATGAAAAAATACATTGACATCCAAAAAGTAAGTTATGAACATTTCTATGGGAATTGTATTTGTCTGGCTGTGCCTGTTTCTACAGAAACTGACAGTTTTCTTCAATTGTCTATTATTTTTACAGAAAAAGTGTGGCCAGGAAAGACGGAGAGTCAAGCAATTCTTAGAGTACTTGCAAGAGTTTCTTGGTGTGATAAATACCGAGTGGATGATGGAAAGTTGAGACTAACCTGCCAATTGTAACCAAAGCTTGTATTTTTTTATTAGACATATTTTAACTGTACATATTAATAGATACCATGTGATGTTTGATATATGTACACATTGGTAGGTTAAACATATCTAAGTCCTCAAACATTTACCTTTTTTATATTGAAACATTCAGAATCCTTTCTTCTAAGGACATGTAACACACGATCACTATTTATAGTCACCCTTCCGTGTAATAGCACGTCAGATCTTCTTATAATCTAACTGTAATTTAGTATCTGCTGATCAACATTTCCTCCTCTCTACTACTTTCCCCAGCCCCTGGTTACAGCTCTCCTCTTCATTTCTTTTTGCATTCCACCCATGAGTGAGATCATATGGTACTTACCTTTCTGTGCCTGGAGTAGAATATGGAGGAGGGAAAGGGCATTTTTTTGCAGCAAGAATGAGAGTCAGGGGCTAGGGATGTGGCTCAAGCGGTAGCGCGCTCGCCTGGCAAGCGTGCGGCCCGGGTTCGATCCTCAGCACCACATACAAACAAAGATGTTGTGTCCACCGAAAACTGAAAAATAAATCTTAAAAAAAAAAAAGAATGAGAGTCAACCAAGAGTGGCTCTTAATTTTCAATGTAATTAAGCTTCAGAGGCAAACCAGGCATGGTGGTACATGCTTGTAATCCCAGCAGCTGAGGAGGCTGAGGCAGGAGGATCACAAGTTCAAAGCCAGCTTCAGCAACTTAGCAAAGCCCCTAAGCAACTTAGCGAGAACCTGCCTCAAATAAAAAACAAATTTTTTAAAGAGCTGAGGATGTGGCTCTGTGGTAAGTACCCCTGAGTTCAATTCCCAGTACCTAAAATAAAGTAAAATAAAATAAACTTCAGAGGTAAAGTAAATATTTCAGGAGTGCTGCTACTTTACCACCTCACACAAGCAGAAAGTGTAAAGTATTTGAGATGTTTCAAATAACAAAAATCACTGAAGTGTTCTCCTCCAGTTTGCCAAATAGATACTTTTATTTAATTTAACATTCTGTAAGATGTCAATTAACTTAATATTATTTATGAAATGATTAAGAATTTGGTAAATTAATATTTATTTTATGCTCTGTGACATTCCAATAAAATAAAAATGTACAACTCTGATTCGATTAACTACTGGTCTCTGTCTTAATGCTTCAAGTCCATGTGAGGATGTGCAGGGTTTGGAGGGAAGCCCTCAGTGCACGCTGGCTGAGCATTTCCATCTTTCCGGTGGCACGAGTCTTGAGGTGACTGGGCAAACCAAGAGCAAGTGACTCAGCAGCACTTGGAGAGCATGTAGAAAGCAGGAACATGGGCAGGAAGTGATCTTGATTTCTTTTGCACAATAGTATCCCCACAACCTATACAGGGGCAGAGTAAAAAGCAGTAAATGAATGAATGGGTGGATCTTCTGGACTGGCTGTAGAATTAAAATGAGTTTTAAGGTTGCCCCTGGGAGGAGGGCAGTGTAGGAACCTGTAACTAGGTTTGTCTTCAGCCTATGATAAGAATTTGCCAGACCAACCATTCTGCCAGCTCAGGGGAGAAGTCTGAAATGCTTTCTAATGGCCCAGAGCATTGGGCCTGGATTTCCTTCTCACAGCATCTGTCAAAACAGCACTGAAAAAGGAGCAGAGATTCAATCCCCAGCACAAAAGAAAAGAAACTGAAAAAGGAGCAGAGAAGTGCTCCTGAAAGTCTCTCTCTGAAAATGGGGTCCCAAAGGGGCCTGCCATCTTATATTCGCAGAAGAAGAGTAGCACCAGGCAGAACAACACTCCCATCTGCCTGCTGATGGCGATTAGTAGCATAAATGGAGATTTCTCTGCTTGAGAAAATCTATCAAAGATCCAGAAAATATGTTCTGTGAAATATATTTTAAAACTGAAATAGACTCAGTAACAATACTCAGTTATGCCACTGATTCCTTCATTCCTTTATCCAACAAATATTTATTGGGGTCCTGTGCTAGGGATAGGACACAGATGTGGGACTGTGACACCTGTCCTTAGAGGTCAGTGCCACCATCCTGGACATTATCTACACGCGTGACAACGGTGCTGGGCCCGCCAATGTGCATGTGAAACAATTGCTCCTACTGTTGCTAGGCAGAGGAGAGGGGCCAGAGCAGACAGACGCAGATTCCCAGGTGAGAGAATGCAAGCTCCTCTGAGAAAGAAGCACAGGTCCAGGCATGGGGGACAGAATATTGAGCCACCCTGGCTCCGTCTCCCAACTTGTACACACTCTGAGCCATGAGCTGAGCCAGCGAGGGAGGAAGGTGGATGAGCAGATCACCATGATGGCTGCTCTAGAAACTGACAGGAAACAGGAAACTCAACTTGCAAAATATTTGCCAAATTGAATTAAGTGGAGATTCAGTCTAATATTTAATAAACCACAGTATGTTCTAGGACTAGGATCCATCAGTGAATAAAACAGACAAAATTCCTTATCTTTGTACTTCTAACATTCTCTAGAAAAACACTTTATAAGTCACCATCATAGATTCCTGAAGGTAAAAGGTCAAGGTACCCTGATTGCTTTTGTGGCCACAAAAGCAATCAGGGTACCTTGACCTTTTACCTTCAGGAATAAGGTTCGTGGTAGTAACTTTGTCCATCTTGCTTCTGACAGGAAGTGCTCCCAACTTGGCCTCTACCATTCAAGGACCCCATCTTGCCCACTGATACTGGGGCATCCATGGCAGAGGCAGCATCCCTCGCTTTCATCCCAATTTACAGAGGTCATCCACTAGCATCCTTCACAACGACGCCTGCTTCTCTTCATCAGGGCCTCACTTGCTGTGTTAGTTAAAGGACCATACTCTGTTGCCCTCCAGGAACATGTAAGATAGCAGGTTCTTAGACAAGATGCAATAAATCCATTTAAGCCTTCCTACTTCCTTGAGCCTTCTTCTTCAACACCATGGAAGGAAGCTCTAGCATCTTTACTTCATGTGCCGCACAGCATCATCAGGGTCAGGCTTCAAGGGCCCAATGCAGTAAACTAGTAGAACTAGCTCTGGGTGTTCTTATAAAACCATTAAATTCTGAGTGATAATGAGTAGTTGCCATGAATGAATTCACTCCTATTTAAGTCTGCATTCTTCTGGATGAAGCACCTCAGGATCCATTCTCTCTTGGATTCTGACAGTACATATTACTGAACTCCTCCAGATCTTCTGCTTCCCTGCCACGACTGTATGTCAGTTGTTGAAATGTTGTCTCTCAACTTCAAACCCACCTTATAAACTCTGCTGGAGCTGGGATTCTGCAAACCAATGTCTTCCTAACCTTAAGGAGGGTCAGCCTAGGAGGCTCCAGTAAGAAAGGATTGTTTGTTTCTGTTTGCTTCCTTTTCTGTTTCCTGTTCTTTATCCTTTAAGATTCCTGTTCCCAAGCCTAACATTAACCCTGGAAGCAGCAGTTCATTCCACTAGCAATAGTTGTTTGACATTTTGAAGTTTTTCTACCATTCATAATATCAGCTTTCAAGTATTCCAACCCCCCTCTAAGACCTTAGCATCAGACAATAAGCACTCCCCCAAATGCCTGGGTTCTATTCCTGGAGGATCTCTTTTCTGAGTTCAGGGCCGTGTCGCCTCCACAGACATCTCCTCCAAAAAGTAAATTTTAATAATTCTAACATCTTGGTTTTGCTTTTCAACCAAAAGGGTGGTAGCTCCTCCCTACAGTTGTGACCTCCATAGTACCCTGTGGTTCCCTTTTTTGTCTATCCAGTTTTTCATGCCCTGTTAACACTTTTTTTTTTTCTTCCAGTACTGGGAGTTCCATCCAGGGCCTCATGCATGCTAAGCAAGCACTCTACTACTGAACTACATCCCTACTCCTTTTTAAATTTTATTTTGAGACAGTGTCTCACTAAGTTGCCCAGCCTGGCTCAAACTTCCAATCCGTCTGCCTCAGCCTCCTGAGTAGCTGGGATTACAGGTGTGCATGCATGGCAACAGTTCTTTATATTTATTCTCTCTATTAAAATAAATGGTTTGGGCTGAAGCTGGAGCTCAGTGGTAGAGCGCTTGCCTAGCACATATGAGGCCCTGGGTTCGATCCTCAGCACCACATAAAAATAAATAAGTAGAATAAAGGTATTGGGGAAAAATCCACATAAAATAAGATGAACAATATGGTTTCTATCTTCTGATCAGTCCCTAGTTAATACTAAATGTTTAGGTACCTGACTGTGATTATTGGCCTGGAGGAATGAGGGGTATTGTGGGAGAAGAGAGCAAAGGTCACCTTATGTTTTGAGTGAAAATAGTTATTCTGCCTACAAGGAAGGGGGAAGCAAGTCTACTCTGGCATGAGGGAATGGACTGCTTCTGCCTGTGGAAGAGGGCTCAGGAGAACTTGGGTGTTCAAGAGTCTCAGGTTTGTCCAGTTAAGGTCTCACGGTCCCACTTTTTCCTTATCAGGGTCTGACTTTGACACAGAGGAGTGCCAAAGGTACACAACCATCCTCCTCTGTGGCTCTTCAAAGACCTGCAAATTGTCAGACCCTGAACCTAGTTTTCAGCTCAATCTGATCTGCGGCTGTAGGAAATAGGTTTTTCTTTAAAGTTGCCATTGAAACCTGGTAGAATTCAAAGGATGCTAAGTTGGCATTAGATTGTCTTGTACCATCATTCTCTTTTGATTAAAAAACAAAAAAATAAAAGAGGTGTCAGAAGAGGCACTGTACTTTGCAATTCTGTAATTAGCATGATTCCCATGTATCCAAGCCATATATTCTGTTGCTTTGCTCTCTGCCGGCCCTTTATCCAAATTAACCAGAGTTAAATGCTTAAAAATCTCAAATAATTTTATGCCAGAAGTTATGATCAACTTACTTATCCTCAGGACTAGTTTCTATTATTTTAGAGACAGGAACAATCCAAATTCACAATTCCATTCCACAGCTTATCTAAAACTACAGCTGGTACCAATTTTGATAGCTTCAGAAAGCAAAGTCTGAGGTAAAGATTGAAGTGCTGACATTTTCCAGATGTTATAAGCCTGGGCTGGTTAAGGTTGAGGGAAAAAGGAAGTGAGGCAAAGAAAGATGTGGAAGAATGTGGTTGGCTAGACACAGTATTGCACAACCATAATCCTACCTAACAACATACAGGAGAGGGACATGTATATGCCAGGCTGTCATTCTGGCCCATAACTCAGAGGTCATGCTTCACTCCACAAGAGCTCGCTTCCCTGCAATTCCAAACTGTGGGGGGCCACCCCTGAGCTATTTGAAAAACCTCTACTGGGCCTTGAAGCCAAGGAGATTTGGGTCTGGCATTGCAAGTCATTTTGTGGCTTCTCCCACTTAATGGTGACACGTGGTGACCTCAGTCTTCTCTCAG